AAATTTTTTAAAACACACGAATAAAAAATTTCGAAATTTAACGATCAATAATAATCATGACCGAAACAAGAAGTCGAGATATCACTCGAAATTCCACACATGTCAAACAATAAGACAAATCGACAAAAAAAAATTTACTTAATATTATAGTCAATATCACTCCAAAAAAATAAAAAGTGAAATAATAAAAGAATTTGTCACTTTTAAACATATGACGTAAAGTAACGAAATAGTAACATAATTACGTAAATCAATACAAAAAAAATCAAATTGTCAACCCACAAAGGAGTAGTTAAAACTATCTTCATAGTAAAAATAATCACATTATAAGTTGTCGATAATCAAAGTATCTGACAGAATCAAAATATTTAAAAGTTATAAAAGAAAATCATTTCAATTTCTAAAACCTATTAATATAAGATTTTAACCTTCAAAATATATACTTTATAATGACTTACGTTCAAAACATGTAATATAATAGCGCGCGTAAACACACAATATAAATATGCTTCTCAATTACTATTAAAATTATTCAAAACTAAAATTAACTTTTGAGTTCAATTTTTTAAAAATTAATTAATATAAATAAATTATAAAAGAAAATGACTTACAATTTTTATGACAACAGATATGTCAAAAAACAAACAAACATAATAAAACATGTATAGGCGATGAAACATCCTTCATAGACTATGTAACCGGTGAGTGTGATGTACAGCTCCATCCGTTTTCGCAATTTAAGATGAATTTCCCAAGAATTGGTCAATATCCAGAGTTAACAGGAAAAAATCAGAACGATGAACTCTCATAGACCAGATGTAAATTTATAAAAAAAAAGAAAAATTCATCAAGGGACAGAAAAGTCCAGAAACTGTTAATTTGCACACAGGAATGAAAATACGCATACCTGTTGCATAGGCAGGAGTGATATGCCTATGCGCCGTTTCAAAAAGCATTGAAAAACAAGATGACTGCAATCAAAGTGACCTAGCTGTCACGAAACCGGTAAGAAGTCAATGCAGAAAGTAATCGCAGCAACAAATAATCCTCGAAGTATCGTCATTAAAATAAAATTCTTGTCGAAACTTCCTCTCGTTTGGAGTAATAATTGACAAATTGTTGGCTGATATTTTAATCCTTTAAGAGTGGTGAGAAATCCATTATGTCGACCTCGTGTATAAGCACCGCATGGCAAAATTTTCATTTCCATAAAGTTGAAATAAAATCAACCATTTTCAAAACGAAAATGACGAGGATTAAAAGAGAAAAATTTTCTCAACAAAATAAAATTAAAACTGCATTTTGATTGCAAATATTACGACGGATTTTCTCGGATAATATATATATATTTTTTTTGCACTAAGAAAACCTCAATGTCCGACGCGAAAAATCACGTCGGGGTCACCACTATGGGAAATTATAATTAATTTATTTATTTATGACTCCAGAAGGTTTCCCATATTTTTACGTGTCACTAAATAACGGACAACTCAAGATAATATTAATAATATAAATTCAATATATTTTCCATATTACACTTATGAGGTAAGACAAATATGACTACACTCTATTACAGCCAAATAAGTTCTATCTCTTTTCGCGCGGAAACACATTACCAAATTAGGGTTACTAGACTCCTAGAGGAAATACAAAAATAACTAAAATTACTATATGTGGGGGCAACGTCGAAGTACATAAATCCCCACACATATACATTCTTGTCGACACCTAGCGGATGCAGAAAGAACTATATCAAAACTAAGCAAACACTGTCAGGGCACGACAATGTCGCACCGCAGAAATCATCGCTAAATTTTACCCTTTAAAAGTTCTCGTCCCACTTTTTGCCCTATATATTTTTTTTTGGAAATTATCTTAACTTTATGAAAAAAAATAAAAAAGTTAAAAAAAGATGTCTTTTTTTCAAAAATCAAAATTTTATTTTTTCAAGGTCAAAAAAATTTTTTTTCGAAAAATTGTTTATACCATTAGAAAGTGCGTAAAAAATGCAAATAAATTCATATATAATAAACATTCTTTTGTTATGTTTTAAAGGAAATGCAGATTTTTGAAATATACGATGTAGAGCAAAAAATTAAAACTTTGACTCCCTCCACTTTTTACAATTGTTTAAATAAATTAATAATCTTTGGTACTTGAAGTTGTATCTAGTAGGACTAAAGTTTAAGCAAACTTTAAACTTGATCCCAGGTAATTAAAATTTAGACCCGGATCACTTGACGTGGAGTGCCTCATATATATCAACAAATTTATTTTCTGTAAATAATCTTATGGCTTTATTTGGAACGTAAGATTCTGTTACGAGTCAAATTGAAAGTAGAGATATATCTTTTAAAGAAATTGTTCCACTCGCTAAGTTATTTAAGGGGAGAAACTGGTTTAAATGCACGTTTTTCAGGAATTTTTTTTAAAAAACTGGTAAAGTTTATTAAATTAAAGTAAAGCGTGCTTTAAAAAATAATTTGAAAAAACGTTTAATTTTCAAAAAAAGGGTCAAAATTTGAATTTTTTAAAAAAAGTTTTGCACCATTCGAAAGAGCAGGAAAAAACCTTTCGAAAACATATGGGACAAATTGTTCTTCTTCTTTCTGTTTAAAAGTGTTTAAAATTCTTCAAAAATTCAATGTTTAAATTTTTAAAAAAAAATTCAACCCCCTCTCTCTTCGACAGTTTTTGAAAAAACCGAACAATACTTCGTGGTTAAATTGGTCCATCTGCATTTGCTGGTAAATTTAAAAATCAAGTGTGAGTGTGAGTGAACGGGATAAAGGGAAGGGAACTTAACGGACGGAAACTTATCGGACTTGTACTGTAATTTAAATAAATTTTGTAATAAAAAAAATGTTTAAGAAAAGTCACTGAGATGTGGTACTAACCCCTTAAACTATCAAATTCATCATTTTTTACAGATTTTACACAAAATTTTAATTCCAACCTCATGTTCCACGAATTTGGTGGAACATTCGCATCATGCAATCCGCCAGGGAAATGATTCGATTTCAATGAAATATGACTTATTTTCTTCAGAAAATGATTTTCTACAATTTCACCGTGAGGATTTCCAAACAAGCAAGCCGTTTCAAAAATATGGCTATTTGTTTGAACTAAAATTAAAAAACAGAAATTTTGTTAGTTAATGCATTTCATATGAGAATACGGGGTCATGTCTCGGATTTTTTCAAAATTCGGTAAATTGTAGTGATAGTGGTGCTAAATAAGTGTACAAATTTTGAATTTGAAACTTTTATTATTTTTCGAGATATTTACTATACCTAACAAATTTAAGTAATATTTTTTTTATTTACTTTTAACTTTTTTCCTACTAAAAATAGAGAAAAATGTTCAAAATGTTTATATTGTTTATTATTAATTACACAGGCACACAAAAAATAAAAAGCTGTTTGGCCGAGATACTACACTGGTCTATTTCCATGTATTTTTTCACGCTGAATCCGAATTCGAAGTCAGAATTGACAGATTGGATCAAATTTTGAAGATAATTCCAAAAAACTGATTTTGAGTATTTTGAGTTTTTTGTTACTTACGTTCTTTTGCAATTATCTCAAAAAGTTGAGCGAATCTAACAATTCTGACTTTGGATTCGGATTCAGCGACAAAAAATACATGGAATTACACTATCGCAGTGACATTCAAAAATTTTGTACCTTTTTGATTTTATTTTTCTTTCTGAGCAGTTATTTGAGTTTATCTCAAAAATAAAAGCCAATCTGATAATTCTGACTTCGGATTCGGATTCAGCGTGAAAAAATACATGGAAATAGACCAGTGTAGTGTCTCGGCCAAACAGCTTTTTATTTTTTGTGTGCCTGTGTTATTAATTTAACACCCGTTTATTAGAAATATTTCATATAGGGCTCGTTGGATGGTGATTTTGATAATCATTCTAATGGTGTTTTTAAAATTACTCCAATTTTATTTATTCGTAAAATATTTAATTTCTTATTAACTTTTGTTAGTTAATTAATTAATATCTCGAAAACAAAAAATAATGCCATCTCAAAAATTTAAGCATCGATTTATTATGACTTAAACAATATTCATGATTTTTTTCGCGCTTCTAAATGAGGGAGAACATGTTTAAAGTTATAAACAAATTGTTTAAAAATTGATATTTTTTTAAAAAAATAATTTTTTTCTAAAAGTTTAAGGTCTTCTGCGTAAAAAACATTTACAACATTTTTCTCTATTTTTAATAGGAAAAAAGTTATAAGTAAAGCAAAAAAATATTGCTCAAATTTGTTATTGTAAATATCTCGAAAAATATTAAAAATTTCAAATTAAAATTTGTACACTTATTTAGCACTACTATCACTACAATTTTCCGAATTTCAAGAAAAGTCTGAGACATGACCCCATATTCTCATATGAAATGCCTCAGTTATTACATCATCCGTGCGAGAATGAAGGGTTTTGGGAAAAAAATTTTTCTAGAAATGGCGATGATTTTTCCTTAAAAATCGTGATTTTAGTTTCAAATTTAAAATAAACAAATCACATAAATTTTGGATCAAATTAAGATTCCTTCGTTCACGTACTAGCTATTGTATAAAGAATCTCTGAAAATTTCAGCCCGATCGATTTAGCGGTTTTGGAAAAATCGTAGTCACTGTAACGGTAGTTCATAAAAATCCCTTTAAAGTTTCTAGCATATATTCTCTGTTTTGAGAAGTAGCGGATTAAAACAATCTCAAGAGTATGTACTTTTGATGTATGCAATAACAAAAAATCGATTTTTTGACCAATATAAAGGTATGTAACCACTTAATTAACCAGATTTGGCCAAGATTGGGCTATGGCAACATTTCTACAGGAGTCTGCTTAATTTAAGAATAGCGTTTAGTGTAAGGTATTATTGTTTGTAAGAAAATATATCATAGGTAATATAATATAATAGATATATTTTAGGAGCTTGGAACCAAATATTCTTACTATGCAGTAAAATAAAAAGATCGTACTACCTTCAGGGTATTTTGGACAGCACACAAACTCAACTCCTGCAAAAAGTGATATTCCACAAGGTAGTAACATTGCAAAACTTCTTAAGTTCATATTTCGTTCATTGCAAGTATCTGCTGCTGTAGAATTCCACCTAAAAAAATATTAATTACCTCAGCTTGTAGTTGTCGCACAAAAAAATATATTCTATTGTATTATTAAATATCATATTATTATTTACATACTAAAATACTAAAAAAGATGTCTTGCGGCGGAAACAAAGACCAAATATCAGTTTTTTAAATTTTAACTGTAAAGCATCTATCCGATCAAGCTGTCAAAAAATATTTTACTTTATAAATAAATAGTATATTAAACAACAAAAGTCCAAAGGCAACTATTGTTTACGTTGACGTTTGCAACACGAGTAATAGTCGAGACTTAACAAGTGATTACAAACGTCAACGTAAACAATTGGTTGCCTTTGGATCCGTGTTACTTACAATATTTTTAAGGAAGTTCTATTAATAATCGATTAAACAAACATATTTTGACAAAACTTGGTGTACTACTAGATAAAACTTCTAAAATTTGTAGTTAAGTTTTTTAGACCTGTAGGGTCTTGAAATAACAGTTATGTTCGATTTATTTTTTCACTGTTTGCCATTGATTCTTTGTCACACACCTATATTTTCGAACTACAAATAATTTAACAAAGAGATATTGATCAAAGTTTGTATATTTAAAGACTATACAGAGAGGACAACTTGCAACGTCTGGTAACACAGCATTTCGCGTGTCAAAGTTTTGAGCACGCAATATTTAAAATTTTTGTTTCTGGGAAAAGAATAAAATATTCAAATCAAAAACAGAAATTCTATTAGTTAATAAAATTTTTATTATTAAATTGAAAAATATGACAAACATATAATACCTGAAGTAATTAAAGTATATAAATAAGATAAATTGGGGAAAATAATAATAGGGGAGGTGTATGCAGGTTGAGACGATGTTTGTTTTTTGGGAAAACTTTTAACAAAAAGTTTTATATGCTGTTCAAAAAGTTCTGACCAGGGCTACAATGTTGCCTAAGAAAGTAGTAATTTTTTTAAAAATAAAAAATTTACGTCTGATTGTTCGAATATGGTATTTCTGTTCATGAAATGATTTGACATGCAGGTGAGACACATCTAGTGATTGTAAAATGTGTAACGATTAACAAAAATTATTTTTACTCTTATTTAATTAAATATATCTTTACTACTCGTCCCTCATATTAGTATTATTACATATATGTTATTTGAACATTCCCGTGTGAATGTCGTAGATGGCGCACTTGGTAGTCGACCAAGCAGACGACAAGACCGCGTGGACACAGCACTTATTTCTCGTTAACCTAAAGACATTTTTGCAGTTTGTACTTTCATTATATTCAAGCGAACATTACGAGAGCAGCCTATTGGATTCTCTTTGCGTATCCATGTACTGGTAAGTTCGATTTTTCTCTCCTGATTCTCTCTGCATTTTTGCGTCTTTTCCTCTCACTTGCAATTGCCATTGTATCAACGTTGGTACAAATTTCGTTCTTTCTTGTGAGCAACGTTCATAATTACCACGTCATTTTTTCAAAGTTTTTTATTTATTTGTATTGAATGTATTAAAGAATAAAAAAGTTTAAAAATTTATTAATTTTTGGCCTATTTAAACCCGCTTTACGGGAAGTTTGAATTTTTAAAACTTTTTTTTAAAGTGGCTTGGCGTTCTTCTTTTCCGACCGAGTTAGTTTAGGCTGTCTTCAATAGATGGCGTCACTTACGATTACCGAACAACTCAAACCCTCTTGGCGGGAATTAAAAATTTTTATGTTAAAGTGGCTTGGTTTTCTTCATTACCGATCGCGTTAGTTTTGGCTGTCACCGCTAGATGGCGCCACTTTATTTTCGCGCTAAATTTAAAATGGCTTTCAATATGGAAAATTATTATTAAACAATTTAAAGTGTTTTGGAGTGGGGGTTTTAAATTTACCACTCAAATTACCGATTGAGTTAGTTCCGGCTGCCACCGCAAGATGGCGCCAATTATTTTTTTACCTAATTTAAAGTTAATTCAAATTTTAAAATTTCAATGTATATAATAGAATATGTTTTTATCTGAACCTGTATGGAAAAAACATCGAGACGGTTCCCCCTTTCTGGCTGCGTCTATCCCGCAGCCCGCGCCGGGTTCATATGCAAAGTTCCGTTTCTCACCGCATCGATGTGAGCTCAGCCTGGAACTCTTTGCCATGCCTACAGCGGAGCGTGCAGAGGAAGGCCTGATTGGTTGCGCGCGTCGCTTGAGTAGTAAGGCGCGTTGTAGTGGGGATCGCTGGTATAGAGTACAGCACGCCAGCCACAACAGTCATTTTTCCTTTTATCTCCAAGCGTTTCAGGTGAATTTCTCTCTTCGAGCTATTTTCTCTTTCAGGCTTTGTTTTCTTTTTAGGCCTTGTTTTTTTCAGGTCTTATTCTTTTCACTTCTTTAATCTTTTCTGTTGCAGATTTATATTTTAATTTTAGATTTTTTATTTTTATTTAGGTTTTCTTTTCTACAACAGCTACTAAAAAATAGATCTTGAAAAAGTCAACTCAGTTGAACGTTTTGAAAGATACTTGCCGACGAAATCTCTATCCGAGATGACAAAGAATGGGCTAAATTATGTTACAAAAATGAAGAAGGTGCAAACCAAATATGGACCGAGAATCATTGTAGAAGTGAATGCTGGTTTCATCACCTATTTATTATCAAGATTCGACAAACACTTTAAAGAAGAACCCAGCTCTCTGGAAATGATGCAGAAAGCGGCAATAGCCAAGCAGTTTCAAATGAAATATCTTGGAGGAACATACAATATTGTTGAATTTCAATTTTTGAAATAAAGAATTGTATATATATTTATTAAAAAATTGTTAATATATAATATTCTTTTACTTAATATAAGTTAATTTTATGAAATAGAAGAACTTTATTTTCAGGAAATATGAAATAAAATTTAATCTTTATGGGACTGTCGATGTACCCGGGTACCTTTTGCATTTTCAAATTGATTTTTTTCATAATTTTTAAAATCGTGTCGACCTAAGGTTTTTTGACATCTCAAATTTATCCATACAAAGTGTTTTAATAGTATTTGTAATGTACCTTTTTTTATTTTTTCGGAAATAATAAACAAAGTTTTTTCACCCTTAAAAGGCGGACAAGGTACCCGGGTACCTCTATACATTTCGTGCAGATAAATGTAGAAATTTCGATTAAAAAAATTACGAAAAACTACATTAAACAATTTTTATTGATTTTTATAGAATATAATTTTTATAAAATATGTAATTTAGTTACTACAGTTAAATAATAGTATTTATAGTATAGTATTTATGTATAGTATTTATTTGAAATCGTCAGTTTTAAATTAAAGATTACGGTGATTTTTTTTCAAAAAATCGAAATTATTTTTTTTTTCATTTTTGGTTAGTATTGTGGAAATACTGAGTAGCTGCACTAGACGGGAATTATGACTCCAAGTATTGTGAGACTACAAGGCTTCCAACATGCCTTTCAGAAGGATTAAAATAAGTGCTAATTAGGTCAGGTTAAATAAACACTGGACACTTATGTCGGGAATATATAAATTGGTATATTTTTTCTATTGTTATATATAATATCACAGATAAATAATGATATGTCGAATAGCAACAAATAAGTACGTCCGCACTCTCTCACGTTCGGGGATTCTCTACCTAGCGTCACTCAAGAGGTACGCGGGAGAAGTCCTTAAGACGGTATCACAAGTTTGCTACTAGTTTACAATATTTACGACGACCTAAAGGCGGACTCCCCACACACTCCCCCCCAAGTGACAACGAGATTTCTCGAGGAAGGAACGATTAATCAATATTGAGTTTTTGAATTTATGAATCAAACTTGTCATTGAAAAGTATTTTACAAACTTGTCTTTTTTTTTTTTTTTTACTGTAACCTTGTAGGTTCGCACTTTATTAAACAAGATTTTTTTTTATTTTATTTATTTGGATTCATGTTCCTACGCAAAATTGCTGGTATGAATTTAGTGCGTTTTTGACTTTGTGCCTCATTATTGGGCTTTTTGACAATATCCGCGAAAGTGTTCCTTTCTCGGACATTTGCAGTACTTTGACTAGATTTTTGAGAATTTTTATTTAAACTTATTAGATTATCTTGGACAAACCTCACGCGTTTCTCGATCCGCTCGTTTGGAATTATCACAGTTTTGTTTACTTTAGTCGAAATTTTAACCTTAATATCGCGATTCGAAGTGCTTGGTTCGTCTGGGTTTTCAAAGTTACCTAAATTTAAATTTATTTGTTCTGGTTGCTGAATCACGTTTCTTTGAGCCGAATTATCCGAATTGTTCGAGTTATTCCCGATATGCGTTGCATATCTTTCGATGTTAAATATTGGGTTTCCGGTAAGCGCTGGACCGATTTTGTTCGATATTTTAACATTGGTTCTTTCGTTGACCGTTTTTTTGTTATCGTTACCGCGTATCATTATCCACTCTTCTTGTGGAATAAAGTGAGCCGGTTTGACATTTTCTATCGAAACGATTTTGCTTTTCCCGTTTACATCTATTTCATAAACTCTTTCGGAAACTCGTTTGATTATTTTATGCGGACCTGAATACGGGCATTGAAGTGACCTTTTGTTTGGGGGTGCACGCAAGAATACATGAGTGCAGTCTTTCAGTTCTTTATGAACGAAAACTTTTCTCCTGTCGTGGCGCTCCACCGGCACTGCACGCACTTGATGCATATGGCGACGGAACTCAGAAGGAAATGGTTGGGGTCAGCTGACTCGTTCTCGGGGACAATTAGTTCGCCCGGTATGCGTAAAGTCGTACCGTACACATATTCGGCCGGTGATGCTCCGTTGTCCGTAACGTAAATTCGCATGCCCAGAAGCACTGTTGAAATGACGTGAATCCAGTCGTTTTCCGCGTGGCACATTATTGCGGCTTTCAATGTCCTGTGTGACCTTTCCACAAGACCATTCGATGCGGGGTGATAAGACGTTGTTCGAATTCTGTCGCAGCCAATCACGCGCCTGAGTTCTGAGAATAATCTAGCTTCAAATTGTGTGCCC